AGAGTAGATAGAGAGAAGAGGGGTGGTGGATATTTTAAAATAAGGCACTACATCTTTTCTCCTTTGCTCCTGAGCACATTGTTTTCAACCTGAAGCACCTATTGCCCTCCTCCCACTACCTACTCCATGTAACGGAGCCTTGTATATTTACACTCTTGGCCTTTTGTTAAATTTCAGCAAGTGAAGCTAGTGAATAATGAAGGCTCAAGTGAATTCAACCAATCCATCAGCCTATAAATGTATTGATTGCCTACCATATGCCCAGCCATGCCCTCTGTGCACTATACCTCATAATTGAAAAAATCTAGGAAACACTGCTTATTAAAACAGAATGATTGATAGGTTTTAATGCTCAACTGATAACAAAACAACTGACAGAAAGTTAAAACATTGATTTATGAATCTCTTACTGCTGAACTTTGCTGAAAGACATAGTTATTGTCTGATTGTTTTAGTAAATCAAATTTCATTTAATGATGTATTACTAATATAGTTTGTTTTCCTAACATGAAATTTATTTCACATAAGAACTTTACTAACCTTCTAAATTTGCATTAAATATTTTAAATAGAATATCCAACATATGTGTAGAATTGTCTTTATAATAGAACAAATTTTTGAAATCAAACAAATGCATTTTTGTCTATATCCCCTCTAACTCTATCAAAATAGTTAGACTAAACTGTTTTAAACATGATATCCTGCCCTTAATAAGTTCATAGCTTAGCAGAAATATTATAGCAGAATTATATTTAGGGTCTAAATTGTATAAAAATAAATATAGTAAAATTTCTTTAATTTTTTAATATAATTTATTAAAGTAACTATATAGATGCCTTTCTATGAATATGTAACAATATATAGTAATGATTATATATAACATATAATTAATATTCTAATATGTGGTATTTATGGTATTTATTGTAAGTATAATTTTTCATGAGAAAGATAAGCATTGATAATTGGATTCACAAACCTTAACTAGCCACATAATGTGATTTCCGTTTATATTAAAACAAGTGTATCTACTATTAGCCAAGAATAGCAGATTTCTGTTAGGCACTTCCTTGCATTTACATTCAATTTTATGATGTCCATAAAAAGACTACTTCAGTAATCAATAGACTGTCTAGTTTTATTCTATCTCATGCACAAGATTTTTCCTTAGAAATATGTTTTATATGTCTCTTCTCAGTTTCTACCTCCACTAATTTAGTTCCAAGCCTGGATTACCTACCTCTTGACTAAAATGGCTACTCCCACAGCAGGAGCAGCCGCTGGCAGGCCCAGGGTGAGACTGAGTCTCTGCACCTGAGACAATCTAGTCTCTGGCCTGACCCCACCAGCTGATGCAGGCCTTCTAATGTGTGTTCTAGAAAGAGCACAGGGAGCTGCATAGGTGGATGGCAAGAGGGGACATGACTGTGGACATCCCAGGGAGGCTGTCCTGATGGCTGAAAATACTGGAGCACAACTGCTTTGCACATCCCTGATGTTGTCACCGACCTGGCATCACACATCAAGGACATTCACCGAGTGGCTTTGGGGTGCAAAGCTCTCTGCCAGATTCCTCCAGGACACAGAACATGCCTTTATCCAAGACATTACCCTGAAATAGCAGTTCAGACTATTCAACAGCCACTCAGAGGGCGGTCCATAGCCATTCAGCTGACCGGGATGAGGCATGTCCCCTCCCCCCCCCCCCCAGTGCATGAATTCATGCACTGAGCCTTTAGTTAGATATAAATGTACTTGGTATTCATGGCTTTCACAAAGTGACCCCTAACTCCCTTTATAGTACTAGTTGAACTGACAATTCCCAAAGATACCTTATCCTTTTACTCATACTACTCTTTTCCCCCAGAGTGCTTTTTATTTCTGCTTAATAAAATTCTTCTCATCTTTTAAGATTTGGCTAAGATATCAATACTCAAGTTGATGCAATTATTCCATATGTTAATTTTCTATAACACTTCATTTATTGTACCTCCCTTAAGACACTTATCATAGCGTTCTTTGTATTAAAGTCACTCATGTACTTCTCTTATTTTTCCCTCTCAGATCGTAGGTCTTGCCCTTCAGGAAGTTATGTTTTACCTATCTTAGTTTTATTTTATGTATAGAACCTAGTACAGAAGAGATGCCTGATAAATATTTAAACAGAATTCAAATAAGTTACCTTTGGAAGTTACCTTTGGAAGTTATCTATACTTATTGCAATAACGTTCAATTTGTCAAAAAGTTTTTGAAGTCCTTCACAATTGTTTTAAGGGCCTATGGGATTATTTAAAAAGCTTTCAGCTATGACAAATCTTCATCATTTTAGGGAAAATTTGATTTTGGAAAGTAAAATTTATTCTTAGTCAGGTTTAGTGAATAATATAAATGTTCAATCTGGGCTGTTATATTTTCAGTTATTGAAAAAGAAATATGAAACAATGATATAGAATCTCTGGATGAGTTATGAACAAAAAACTTCAAAAGGAGAGCTCCCTAAATGATTTCAATAATTACAATATCATTGTAATGACTTTATAACTTTCTAAGTTTTCTCGTTTGAAGTATACAGTACTCATTTGAATGTATGAGTTATAACATATTTGTCAAATGCATCTTGATTCTTTGTAGAATTTTCCAGTTTTCTAAACTAGGATGTTAAAAATATATTTGGAATTTAAATATTATTTAAACAAGAATCATATTTTCTTGCTATTTTGAAATATTGTATTTTATAGTTTCTAGTGAAGGAGAAACTTTGCCATCACTATTGCACAAAAGAAAATTTCCCAAGTTGGATGGGAAACATATTTATATAGTACTTTGAATCAAAAAAGCTTACAAATTCAACTACTATACCTGGGTGTTTTGAGTTTTACCAGAAATATACAGAACTTAAGAAGAGATTCAAAGCCAACAATAGAGGGCTATAAGACAAAAAAGTGAAAGTCATCTCTTCACAAATCTCATGGAATTTATAGCATTGGTATATTAATGTGGTCACAGAAGTTTTCAATTTTATTCATTACATGCAATTGGCTTAAGTAAAAAAACACATTTTATATTATTAAAATGTATAGTGTCCATCTTTAAAGATACTACATTAACTGTTTTTATTATATGTACTATTTTATATGTAAGTTTTTAATAGTTACTGGGTCTCTTGTAATTCATTTGGTTTAACATATTTTTCTAACAAAATGATATAGTCAGTTTAAACATTATCCTAATAGATGGGAGTATGTAAAGAGATAGTCCATAATAGTTGGATATCTCTATTATTTCAAGAGTATATTATATGATTATTTTAGCAGCGTTACCTCCTTCGTTGAGGTTAGCAATCAATTTAGCTTATAAACATTATATCATATGCCAATTATTGGTGTGAAGACAAGAAACTATATATTTTAAATAATATTTCCATAGAAGTTTTGTTATCACTCTGTTTACTATTTTAAAAATAAATTATCAAACTTCATGACCCTCAGTGATTCTAGTTAATTGGCATTTTACTGTAGTGGGATTTTAACTTGAGTAAATATATTTTAAAATTTTTCTTGAAAATATTATTTGGAGTTTACATCAGTGTAGCCTATCCTTATCATATTGGTGTATTTTGAACTCAAAATAAAATGGTAAGTATAATAACTAAGGATAGTAATTCTATCTAATAAAAGAGTAATATTAAAATTGACCATCACTCCAACACACAAGATGGCCACCCCCATGTGATCAAATATGGCTGCCCCCATGTGGACACAAGATGCTGCCACAAATAGCTGGCAGGGGAGGGCAATTGTAGGCAATCAGGCCAGCAAGGGAGGGCAGTTAGGGGTGACCGGGCCAGCAGAGAAGGGCAGCTGAGGAGACCAGGCCAGCAATGGAGGACAGTTGGGGGGGACCTAGGCCTGCAAGGTGGGAATTTGGGTGGGGGGATCAGGCCTTCAGGGGAGGGAATTTGGGAAAAACCAGGCCAGCAGAAGAGGGCTGTTATAGGTAATCGGGCTGGCTGTTGGTCAGTTAGGTTTCTATCAGGTTGACAGGGGAGTAATTAGGGGCAATCAGGCAGGCAGGTAGGTGAGTGGTTGGAAGCCAGCAGTACTGAATTGTGAGAGGGGTCCCCTATTGGAGAGGGTTTAGGCTGGGCTGAGGGACACACACAAAATTTGTGCACTGGGCCTCTAGTAACTTAAATAATTGACAATATTACTTAACTATTTACATTGACTAATCATCACTTCTTATTAGTAGGCATAATAGTAATTCATAGGCTATGTCTGTATATAATTCATCAAACACAATAAATGCTTCATTGAATACCATTTTCCCACCACTTAGCAATATTGATTTGCCTTATCAGTTTCTCAGGAGGTATGCATTTGAGAAGTAAGGAGAGGGCAAGTGAGAATTTGGAGTACTTCAAAACTTTGTCTAATCCCAGGAAAAAAGTATGGCAAAGTACAGGCTAACCTGAGGCATAGTTCATAGAATCAGCTTGGTCTCTATAACAATCCCCCCAAATCCAACTGGAGTAGTATCTACTTGTGTGGCAATGCTGACATAGTAAGCTGCTGCTAGGTATTTATTTGTCTTAGCAGTTTCTGCTTTAAAATAAACTTAAATTTATGTAGGACGAATAAATCTTGAGACCTAATATACAACATGACTACAGTTAATAATTTAATTATTGTAACTCATCTCACAGAACACTGCAGTTTTATTATAAAAATGTTATTGTCCATAGATTTCCAGGCCTCAACAATGTCCCATAATGTGTCTTAAATTTTCAGGGGAACTTTGCACCACTTCTAAAATTTCCCCACCAAAGAAGGCCCTTTAAGTTTGTTGCATTCAGTAAGAAAACCGAATTGTCTAGGTGGGGAATATGCTCTGAATGAAAACTTGTCTTGAAGTCTTATATGAATTTTTTGTGTGTGTGTTGATCACCTTTCCAAGTCGGAGTAATGCATACCTTACTGAGATTCCATTTGTTGTTTCCACAGATTTCAGGAAATCTAACTGTGCCTTGGATTACAGGGTGTTCTAGAAAAAGAGCAGTAAGTAATCTTTCATTTAAAGGAATAAATGTGTTTTCTCCTATGGTGTTAGTAGGAATGTCACTGAGAAAACTATAATAATATTTGTAAAGTTGGCAAAACTGAACCTCAATAAGACTGCATTATCTCAAAGAATATATTTTGTGATCATATTATTTATACATGCTACAAAGGTAACAAATAAAATGCAGTAATCAGCACACTAAATAATCCTTGAGAAGGTTTTTGCAGTTTTAAAAAGCATTCAGAGATAATTAATACAACATCATACTTTTTTACTTCTAATGAACCCAGTTAATTTGATCATATAATTGAATTATGATTGATATAAACATCTCAGTCAACATTAAATAATCTATATTAGTAGTAGTACACTTTGGTATTTACCAGTGATGAATAACTAATATTTTAACAATTTTGTTTTTATGATATATCTTTTGTGATGTTTATAATATGAATATAATAGAACTACATTGAAGTTGTGTTTTCTCATCAAAGCCTGCTCAGTTGGTCCGTAGAGGACAATAAATATGCATTTAAATACTCTGGTTTCTCTTCAGATCGCATAAATCTTTTGCCTTTTAAATCTGCATTTAACAAGTACATCAGGAAATTTTGGTGTAACTAGTCCATACATGGGAAATTATTAAAATATTTTAATATACAAGAGACATGAATAGACTTTAAGAAAGATAACTCAAGTTATTGTATGTTAGATAGGTTTGGATATAATAAAATGGAAGCCAGGACAGTAGTACTGGACAGAATTATATAGACTCCTTTTTATTCCTGCACAAAATAGAACTATATACCATGCAAGTTATACAGGAGGCCACCAAATCAGAATTTGAAGGTTGGAAAGAAAGCAACTGGTTAGGGACTCCAAGATTTGGAGGAACTACATGGTATTTTGTCCCCACAAAATGGCAGAAAGTTACACAAGCTATGCGTCTCATGATCCCAACAACTGCATAAAAAATAAAATATCTAGAAATAAATTTTACCAAAGTGGTAAAAGGCCAGTACTCAGAAAATTATATGACTCTGAAGAAATAAACTGAAGAAGCTACAAATAAATAGAACATATACTTTGCTTATTGGTAGGAAGAAGTGAAATCATTAATTAAAATATCCATACTTCCCAAAACAATTTGTAGATTCCACTCAATTCTCATCAAAATACCTTGACATTTTTCAAGGAAATAGAACAAATAATTTTTTAAAATGTCTGGAATCACAAAAGACCATGAAGAACCACAACAATCTTAAGAAAGAACAAACTTGGAGGTATTAGGCTACCAAATATCAAACTATAGTACAAGACTATAATACTCAAAACAGCAATGGACTGGCATAAAACTGACACATGGATCAATGGAACAGAATAGAAAGCCCAGAAATAAACCTACACCTAGATGCTCAATTAATATATGAGAAAGTAGGTAAGAACATATAATCGTGTATATACAGTCTATTCAATAAATTGTGTGGGCAAACTGAGCAGATGCATCCAAAAATGAAACTAGACCATTTTATTACACCATATACAAAAATAAACTCAAAACGGATTAAATATGTTAAGACTGAAAACCATAAAACTCCTAGAAGAAAGCATAAGCAGTAAAATATCTAAAACTAGAGGCCTGGTGCATGAAATTTGTGCATGGGGGTCCCTCAGCCCCACCTATACACTCTCCAACCTGGGACCCCTCAGAGGATGTCTGACTGCCAGTTTAAGCCCAATCCCGCAATTCAAGACCACTGGCTGCTAACCATTCAACTGTCTGCCTTCCTATTGCCCCTAACTGATCTCCTGCCTGCCTGACTGCCCCTAACCACCTCTGCCTGCCTGCCTGGTCACCCCTAAAAGCTCTTTCCTGCTGACCTGGTCACCTCCAATGTGCATATGGCTGGGGTCCCTAAGCCTGGCCTATGCCCTCTAGCAGTCCAGGAACCTTTGGGGATGTCCTCAGGGGAGTGAGCCCAAGCCAGCAATTAGACATCTTTAGCTCTGCAATGGAGGCGGGAGAGGCTCCAGCCACCACTTCTGCACTTGCCAGCCATGATCCCATCTCAGGGCTTCTGGCTGAGCGGCACTCCACCTGTGGGAGCACAGGACCACAGGGAGAAGCTTCTGCATTAAGCATATGCCCCCTGGTGATCAGTGTGCATCATAATGATCGGTTGTTCCACCATTGGGTCGATTTGCATATTAGCTTTTTATTATATCGGATGGGATAGACTGACAGGTCAGAGGGGAGTGGGATGGACATAGACAAAAGTGTGGTGATGGTTAGAGGTGGGGGGGCTGGGTGCAGGAGAGTAAAGGAGGGGAAATGGGAAACATCTATAATAGTGTCAACAATAGAATAAAAGCAACAATGATATACCACTACACTACACACCTATTAGGTAAAAATGATGTATTATGAACTATGTATTTACTACATTGATAAAATTAAAAAGTTTAAAAAGAAAGAATTTTGTTCAGAAAAGAGTGTTGTTGATATTTTTTTAATTTTTTAATTTTTTCTTTTTATGGCAATGCTAAGGAAGCTTCAGAGCCTATGTAAGGGCTGGATTTGTTATTGGGAAGAGAACAAGCAAGTTGCAACCAGCAGTATTTTGGATAACCTGCCTGAATTGATTTAAAAGAGAAAGGGACAGATTCTTCAAGCTACAGTTATTTGTAATTTTTTTTTTATTCTAAATGAAGTCATTTTTTTAACCTTAATCTCCCCCCCTCTCTAAAATTAGTCCTTCAGGTTCAGTAAACTTTAGGCCTCACAAAACCTGTGTTAGTCCCTGAAGGTTGGGGTCCCCAAAGGAGTTTGGATTCATTCATTATATTTATTTGTTCCTTTTAATTCTTGTTCTAGGGAGAGTGAGGACAGTTTCTTACTCAGTAATTTTTATAATAAGAATTGTATTGGGACTTGTTCCTTCTTTGGCTGTTTAGAGGTTTACCTTACTGAGAACTCACAGATTTTAAGCTCTTTGAAGATAGGGACAGAGCTGTATTGTGTTTCTATAGTACAGGCACAAAGTTAATACAACTTTTATAAATATTTGTTGAAAAAACTGATAAATTTCAGTGCCATAAGGCATTACTTTTTCTTCTGATCCATCTCTTTATTTAGACTTTTGTGCAAAGCCTAAGGCTGAAGGGATGAGCATGTAGAATGGAGTAAAGTTGCTTTTTCCAAATCTTAGATCCCATACTTCGATTTTACATAGAAGATGCATTTCTGAATGACATTTTGAATTGAGTATATTAGATTTTTCTAATATCAACCCTTTTTACTCATAGAGATTATTTTTAATGGTGTTTAAATGTTTCCTAATATGAGGTGTAAAATATTTTGCTTATTTTAAGAATCTTTATGCATTCTTTTTGTAGTAAAGTGGATTACCAATATGGTAAGTTTATTTGGGGGGTCTGCTTAAAATGGGGCACACCAGTACTAAATTCGGTTCCAACAATGACTAATTTGCACACTACGTGTGGATTAGATGGCTGTTGGACATAAGCATTTTTTTTTGTCCCTTTGCTCCCACAGCACCTGCTTTGATCAGAGGCAGTGTCTTGACCCTTCATGACCTCTTTGTCATGGCAACTGCGGGCATCTACTGTCTGAGGCCTTGGCAGTCAGCCAGGCATTAACCTTCCCAAGATAGTGGCAACTCTGGTGAACATGTGTCAGGGATGGGGTCCCCTGGACAAAAGCAGAACAGGGAAGCACACAGGGAGAACTTTCAGGAAGGCTCACTGAACCCCACAGAGTCATACCAATAGCTTCACTCCTCCTCTCCTCCCGTGCCTGTAGTCTGATGGCTGAGGGGAGTGGCAGCCACTGGCGAGGCTGGGTGTGGGCTCATAAGGATGGGGAGCCTGAGGTACCAGTCCTGGCTGGGTGGGCAGGCACTTCTTCCCAGGTTTTCGGAGGGTGTTGGAGACAGAGACGCACCCAAGCCTCTGTTCTGGGATCCTGGTAATTGGCTTTATTTGGAAGGAAGTTGGACGTCCAGAAGATGGCCATTTGACTCGGTCTAATTAGCATATTACCCTTTTAGTAGTATAGATAGATTATATAGGATAGGATTGCTTAAATGGGGGTGGGGTTGGGAAAGCCTTTTTTAGAAGGAGGAGATGCTTTTGGCAGACAAAAACACATAACCCCTATATCTGGACTGATAACCAGCCATATGCAATATACAACCAAACTGGTCATGAAAAAATTGAACTGCTCTCTTACACCTTACACCAAACAGCTATTGCCCTTAAAACCCCTCCCTCCTAAGCCCCCACCTTAGATTCTGCCTTCGCAGTTCACTCAGATTAGGTTCTGATTGGTTTTTATGCCGATCAGTGTCAAAAGCTCCGCCTCTTAGGCAGCCATTGGCTCCTAGCACTTCACCCAGATTTGGTTCTGATTGGACAGTTTCTATTCTAGTCAGTGTCTCTGGGCCTATCTCTGGGTGATCAAAAGAGGCACAGCTGATCACAGCCCCGGAGAAGGCCCAGAGAGAAACAGGCACGGCTGCTGGCACAGCGGGGAGAGAAAGAAAGAGGCAATGGCTGATCAACAGCTGCCATGGAGACCCTGCCTCTCTCTGCAGGCCTCTCTCTGGGCCTGATCCGCAGTCCCCTCGGCAGTCACCCCTCACTAACACGCCTGATGCCCTAGTCATCCCACACATCCTGTTTGGTCGTCTGTTCAGTTGTGATGGTCGCTTAGGCTTTTATTATTATAGATTTTATTATTTAAAGCTTTTAGGGGCTTTAAAAATAACCATTCTTCCTCCATAAGTTTCTACTTCATAGGTATTGCCATAAGTCATTTTCAGCATTGCTAAGTATGACATCCAGCATGTTTCTAACAAATCAAATCAGGTTTTATTTAGTTCAGTTTAAGAGATGAATCAGCTTTGGATGTCCTCTAAATGAATTACAAATTAATTGCCTGAGTGTGTTTCAGTTTTTGTTCATTTCTTCCTTTCTGACAGTAATTTAGGCTAGGTTGCATTGAAGAATTTGGTGCAATAGCAATGGAAAAATATGAGGATACTTATGCTGGCTGTTATGATGGACCTTACTACCATTTATTTTGCTTTCAGTTTTATATTCAGAAGTTTATCTTCACAAGTATTAAACAATCAATATAGGATGGGTACCTAATGAGATTTTTATGTTGTAAATAACTTGAGGGTTATTCCATTTGATTGAAACTTTGGATGGCATGTCTTGGTTTATTTATTGGGAACATGTCATTTGTACTAGTACTTGAAGTAAATGTTATTATCAGTGTTTTTTTTAAGAAGTGGAAGAACAGATTTAGCAATAAGGAAATTAACACAAACAAAAATGTACTATATTTCTTATGAAGAGACACATTAATTATATATCTATCTCCAGTATCATGGTAGAAAATGAAGAATTCACATATTGATTTTCCTCATGATAGCTAAAATTCCTTTTCAAAAGGAAGTAGCTTCTAAACAAATTTGTACCTATTGTGTGGTATTACATGAGTTTTAACTATTATAACTTTATTTATATTTTACATATTATATAAATTATTTTCCATTATTACCCATTATTTCACTTTAAATTTCTGCTGGAAAGGAAATGCTGAAAGCAGTGTGTGTATGGGAAGGATCTGAAGTCTAGCTTCGATGTGGGACCAGACCATATCTTCTTAGGCAAAGGCAGCCTTATTCCTCATGCCATTATTTGTAACTGTTGCTATCAACTCACTCTCATGGGCTTTCTCTTGCTCTTTAGCTCTCTCACACTTACTCTCATCATAAACAAACACATACACATATATGGCTTTACAGGATATATTTTAATTAAAATTCATTTTTAGTTTTTTTCACCGCCTCTTGAAATAATTGAAGATATCATAGGGATAAAACTACTAGAATAAAATCAGAATATTCCTATTTCTATATCTGCCATGGACTCTCTGTGCCTTGTTGAATGTGTCCTTTGACCCTTTTTCCCCCTGACTCTTTATCAGCAAATCGGAGATCAATATTCTAGCTTGCTTCTAATTTACTTCCTAGGGATGCAGCCAGGATTTATTGAATTAAAACAATATATAAAGTCCATAATTTATTTGTTTAAAAACCCTAAGAACAAAAAAGGATAGGCTAATTATGAAACTCCCTAAAGTCATAAATATGATTGCTGTCTTAAGACTACATTAACTTCTTAGATTTTTATATGCTTTTTTAATTAATTATAACATTTGTAAGGAAGCTATGTGTATGGAAATTTAGATTAAATTATCAAAAGGCAGCACAGTGATGTAATCCTGACCCTGTTTTTATTTTTTTTCCTTTTTTTTTTTAAATCCATGCTTCAAGATATAGTTTTTTTTAACTTTTTTTAAAATATATTTTATTGATTTTTTTTTACAGAGAGGAGGAGAGAGGGATAGAGAGCTAGAAACGTCGATGAGAGAGAAACATCGACCAGCTGCCTCTTGCACACCCCCTACTGGGGATGTGCCCGCAACCAATGTACATGCCCTTGACCGGAATCGAACCCGGGACCTTTTAGTCTGCAAACCGACGCTAAACCATTGAGCCAAACCGGTTTTGGCTTAACTTTTTTTTTTTTTATTAAGGTATTATATGTGTACATATCTTTCCACTACCCCCCCCCTCCACTACCAAAAATCCCCTCCCCCCTTCCCCCAGAGTTTTTCTTCCATTGGTTTTGCTTATATGCATGCATACAAGCCTCTTATCTCTTGATCTCTTATCTCCCCCATATCTCCCTATCCTCCCCGCTGTAGTTTGACAGTCTGTTTGTTGCTTTACTGTCTCTGTATCTATCTTTTCGTTCATCAGTTTATAATGTTCTTTATTATCCATAAATGAGTGAGGTCATGTGGTGTTTCTCTTTCATTGATTATTTCACTCAGCATGATGTTCTCCAATTCCATCCAGGTTGTTGCAAATGATATTTTTATTGACTTTAGAGAGAGAGGAAGAAAGAAGGAGAGAAACATCCAGGTGAGAGAGATACATGGAAGGTGCACCAACTGGGGATCAAACCTGCAACCTAGTTATGTACCTTGACTGGGAATCAAACCACAACTCATTGGTGCACAGGACGACGCTCCAACCTACTGAGCAATCTGGCCAGCACCTAACCCTGTTATTTTTAAAATATATGTAGTGTGAATGTAAATGTATACAACATAGAAAAAAGGTTGAAAGAATATACATTAGAATGTTAACAAATGTTATTTTCAGAATTGTGTGTAATTGAAATTCTCTTCTCTTTAAAATGTATCTGTAATTTTTATAATGACATAAATTATTTGTGTGATTATAACCCTTTACAATAAACATCGCTTAATTGCCATCAGCTAAAATTTTTATTTTAGTACACTTTCATGTTATAAAATCATGTTATAAATATCATGGGAATTTTCATGTTATAAATGTCATGAAAATGCCCATTTCAAAATGGGGGGACACAGAGTAAGAATTACATAATTAATTTAACTAATGTATATATTGAAAATAACATAACACATCTTACCAGGATGATCCTATCTATAGTAGTATTTCTTTTGATTATTCTAATTTTTAAAATTTGTTCTACAGCTACAAGACCGCACTCAGTTCAGTGACAGAGACTTAGCCACCCTTAAGAAGTACTGGGACAATGGCATGACCAGCCTTGGATCTATCTGTAGAGAAAAAATTGAAGCAGTTGCAACTGAATTAAATGTTGACTGTGAAATAGTTCGGGTAAGACATTTTCAATAATTTTCATGGTGTTGTTGATGAGCATCTTAAATGAAAGCTTTAAAAATTATATGAGGTTATGTAAATAATACCATCAATACATTTTTAAAAATAACTCACATAATAGAAGGAAACATGTTCAAATCATATGTCTAATAAGAAACATATATCCACAATATATAAAGAACTCTTACATCTCAATAATAAAAGGCAAATAATGCAGTTTGTAAAATAAGCACAGAATTTGAATAAACATTTATCCATAGAAGATATACAAATGGTTAATAAGCACACAAAAAAGGTGTTCAACATTACTTGTAATTATAAAAGTTAAAGCCACAATGAGATACCACTTAGTATCTACTATGATAGTTGGAATAAAAAAGACAGATTACCACTGTTAGCTAGGATGTGAAGAAAACTGGAACAATTATACATTTCTGTTGAAAGTGTAAAATGTTTTAGTCACTTTTTAAAACCATCCTCTAAAATTTTAACAAATTAATTATATGACCCAGAAATTGCCCTCTTATGTATATAACCCAAAGAAATGAATCATGTGTCAACTTAAAAACTTATATATGGGTTTTCTTAACAGAGTTATTCATAATACCAAAGAGTAGAAAAAAAAAACACACAAATGTCCATCAAGTCAATGGGTAAACAAAATGTGACATATGCCTCTAATGGATTATTATAGAGCCATGTGAAGAAATTAAATACTGAAATATGCTACAAAATAGATGAATCTTGACAACATTATGCTAGTTAAAGAAGCTAGTCATAAGAAACCACATCTAATCTAATAATAGAGTAATATGCAAATTAACCATCACTCTGCTACACAAGCCACACCCACAAGCCAATCAGAGTGGGTATACAAGTTAACCCAACAAAAATGATGGTTAATTTGCATACAAGGAAGAAGGGAGGAGTGAAGACTAAAGACACCATAGAAGAAAGAGGGAGGGAAAGTGGAAAGCAAAGTGGCTGCAACTGCTGGAGGGAAAGCACTGGCATTGCATGCGGGGCAGGGTGGGCTGAGGTGCACAGTGGCATTTGCGGGAGGCAGCAAGGGCAGCGGATGCAGCAGATAGGGCATACCAGATAAGGAGTGCAGTGGTGGTGGCAGCGCACAGCCACAGAGATGGTGGCGGAGGTGGTGGTGGGTGGGTAATGCTGGCTTCATAGAAAAAGCTAGAAGTATGCCTTTCTCTTGAATTTTTTGGAATAGTATGAGGAGGAGAAATTTTAATTCTACTTTAAATGTTTGATGAAACTCCTCTGTGAAGCTGTTTAGCCCAATGCCTTTGTTGAAAGTTTTTTTTTTTTTTGATTACTGCTTCAATTTCCTTCATAGTTATTGGTGTATTCAGATTTTTTTTGTCTTTTCTTGATTGAGTTTTGGAAGGTCATATTTTTTCTAGGACTATCCATTTCTTCTAGTTTGACCAGTTTGTTGGAATAGAGCTGTTTATAGTAATTTTTAATGATTCTTCGTATTTCTGTTGGATCTGTTCTTATTTTGCCTTTTTAACTTCTAATTTTGTTTATATTGGTCCTCTCTCTTTACTTTTGGTGAGCTTGGCTATAAGTTAATCAATCTGTCTTATCATTTCAAGGAACCAGCTCTTGCTTCATTAATATTTTGTATTGTTTTTGTTTGTTTGTTTGTTCTCAATGTTATTTATTTCCACTCTGATCTTTATTGCTTCCTTCCTTCTGCTTACTCTGGGCTTTTCTTGTTGCTCTCTTTCTAATTCTTAAAGTTTCAGAGTTAGATGATTTATTACACTTTTTCTTGTTTTTTTTTTTTTTTTTTTTTTTTTTTTTTAGAAGTAGGCCTATAATGCTAAGAACTTTCCTCTTAGCACTATTTTCACAGTGTTCTATCAAAACATTACTATAACTAATAAATAAATTTGGCAAGATAGCAGGATGAAAAATTAGCACTCAGAAATTTATGGCTTTCTTATATACCAATAATGAACTCACAGAAAGAGAAACTTTAAAATAATCCAATTTATCATTGCAACACACACAAACACAAAATGAAGATGCTCAGGAATAAATTTAACCAAGGAGGTAAAGGACCTATACTCAGAAAATTATAGGATGCAGAAAAAAAAAGGATAGAGAAAGACATAAACAAATGAAAGAAAATACCGTGTTCATCAATTGGTAGAATCAACATCATTAAAATGTCCATACTACCCAAAACAATCTACAGATTCAATGTAATTTCAATTAAAATACCAATAGCATTCTTCAAAGATCTATAACCAACTCTCAAAAATTCATCTGAAATTAAAAAAAAAGACCCTGAATAGCCACAGCAATCCTGAGAAAGAAGAAAAAATTGGAAGTATCTCAATACCAGATATTAAGCTATATTACCAAGCCATAGTTCTCAAAACAGCCTGGTATTGGCACAAAAACAGACATATACACCAACATAACAGAACAGAGAATCCAGAAATCGACTCAAGCCATTATATTCAATTAGTATTTGACAAAGAAGGCAAGAACATACAATGGAGTCAAGATAGTCTCTTCAATAAGTGGTGCTGGAAAATTCGGTCATACATCAAAAAAAAAAAAAAAAAAATGAAACCAGATCACCAACTTATGCCATACAGAAAAATAAATTTAAAATGTCTCAAGGACTTAAATGTAAGGTGAGAAACCACAAAAATCCTACAAGATTATATGGGCAGCAAAATACTGAAATATATCATAGCAATATCTTTATTGACACAACTTCTAGGGCAATGGAAACTAAATAGAAAATAAACAAATGGGACTATCAAAATGAAAAGCTTCTGCACAGCAAAAGATATCAACAAAACAACAAGAAAGCCCACTGCATGGGAGAACATATTTGCCAATGTTATCTCCAATAAGGGTTTAATCTCCAAAATGTACAGAGAACTCATACAACTTAACAAAAGGAAGATAAATGACCCAATTAAAAATTGGGGAATGGACCTAAATTGGCACTTTTTGAAAGAGGACATACAAAAGTCTAAGAGATATGAAAAGATACTCAAAGTCACTAATAATCAGAGAGACACAACTCAAAACAACAATGAGTTACCATCTCACACCAGACAGAATGGCTATCATCAACAAATCAACAAATGACAAGTGCTGGCAAGGATGTGGAGAAAAAGGAACCCTTGTACACTATTGGTAGTAATGCAGACTGGTGTAGCCACTGTGGAAAATAGTATGGAGTTTCATTGAAAAGTTAAAGATGCACCCTAAGTGGTTTGGCTCAGTGGATAGAGTGTTGGCCCCAGGTTTGATTCTGGTCAAAGGCATGTACTTTGGTTGTGGGCACATCCACAGTGGGCAGTGGGCAGGATTCAGCTGATTGATGTTTCTTTCTCATTGATGTTTGTAACTCTCTATCCTTCTCCCTTCCTTTCTGTAAAAAAATCAATAAAAATATTTTTAAAAAGTTAAAAATGGAACTCCCATTTGACCTTGTAATCCCAAGAAACCAGAAACACCAATCAGAAGGGATATATGTACCTTGATGTTCATAGCAGCACAATTTACAATATTTAAGATTGTAAACAACCTAAGTGTCAATCTGTTGATAATTAAATTAAAAAAACTGTAGTAACATCTACACAATGGTATAAAAAGTAAGGAACTTTTACAATTTGCAACAGCATTGATAGAAGTGAAGAGAATTTTGCTAACCAAAATAAGCCAGTTGGAGAGAGATAAATATCACATGATCTCACTCATATGTGGAATATAATGATCAACATTAATGAACAAAAATAGATCTAAAGATAAATGGCAGGAAAGGGGCGGGGAGTGGGGGAGAGGGAAGAGGTGATTTAGAGAACAATCAAAGAACTGGTATGCATGCATATTAGAATAACCAATGGACACAGAGAATGGGGCTCTGGGGGGTTGCTCATAAAGATGGGAATGGCAGGTGTGGGGTTAATCATGGAAAAAAGGAGACATAAGTAAAACTTTATACAATAAAAAAGTCACATGCAAAATCCTATATAATAAAACCCTAATAAGCAAATTGACCAAACTGCAAAATTCCTGATGGAAACATCAGTTGCTATGATGCACACTGTCCACGAGGGAGCAGACACTCAATGGAGGATCTTCCCCCTGGTGGTCAGTGCACTCCCACAGGGGGAGCAACACTCAGCCATAAACTTGGCTCACAGATAGTCAGTGCAGCTGCCACAGTGGGAGCATCTCCTGATTCCATGGCAACACTACTGAGCAACAGAAGTGGGTCAGGATGAGTATCAGCAGTGTGGTGCCCAGTCCTGATTTGTACTCCTTTTTGGCTGCCTGCTGCTTGGTGCACTGCTATATCCCCCAATGGGTCCTGGGGCGAGGGGGATGTCTGACTGCTGGCTTAGGTCCAATTCTGGTGCTGTTCTCTGTAGAAGGCAGTCAATCTGAACAACTCAGTGACTCAGGGAAACTCAGGGAGAGCCTGCCTCCACACTTAACTCTCCCACTTGATGGTGTTCACAGGACAGATTGTGGTTGCCCAGCCTGTGCACATGCAGTAGCTTCTGAAGCTCAAGCAGCAAGATATACAGCAACAGAAGGCCATCCAGTCACAAGCTGGCAGGTGGACATCACCCAAGGGGTTCCAGACTGCAAGAGGGAGGAGGCCAGGCTGAGAGACCCTCCCCCAGTGCGTGAATTTCATGCACTGGGTCTCTAGTAAATAAATACATAAAAATGAAAGGTCACATGCTATATGGCTCCATTTATGTAACACTAGAGGCCCAGTGCATAAAAATTCAAACACTGGAGGGGGGGTGTCCTTCAGCCCAGCCTGCCCCTTCTCACAGTATGGGAGCCCTCAGGGGCAAGAGGTGACCCAACAATCAGGAGAAGGCAATGCACCATCACACCTCTGCTGCTGCCACTGGCGGCAGCGCAAGCCTTGGTCAGTCCTGGTTACCTGTGCCTTGGGCAGCCATGGGTGGCTGGGCAGCCACCATCTGTGACTTGCCTGTGCCTTGGGCTGACTTTGGGAGGCTGGGGGACTAAAGGGACTGAGGGACTCCAAAAGCAGGTGCACCAGCAGGGTTGCCATCTTTTGGCTATGGGTGCTGCCATCTTTGAGGACGTGGCGGCCAATTAACATATGCCCTCTTTATTGGCTAAGGGTGTTGCCATCTTTGAGTATTGCATGGCAGACAATTAGCATATTTCTTCCTTATTGGCTGTGGGTGCGGCATCTTTGAGGGCAATACAATCAATTAGCATGTTTCCTCCTTATTGGCTGGGGGTACTGCCATCTTTTGCGACAATGTGGGGGTCAACAAGCATATTCCCTTTTATTAGATAGAATTCTTAAAAATATAGATTTGCCAAATATTGGAAATGGTAGGAAGGAGGGGGAATAACAATCCTATATAATAAAGAAGGAATATGCAAATTAACTATAATACCCTCACATGAGATGGCTGCCCCCATGTGATCACAAGATGGCCACCACAAGATGGCCAGCAGGGGTAGGAAGTTGTGGGTGATCAGGCCAGCAGGGGAGGGAGGGTTGTTGGAGAATACCAGGTTTGCAGGGGAGGGAAGTTAGGGGCAACCAGGCAGGCAGGGTAGGGCAGTTGGGGTTGACCAGGCCTGAAAGTGAGGGAAGTTGGGGGGAACCAGTTCTGCAGGGAAGGGTAGTTAAGGGCAATCAAGCTGGCAGGGGAGGGCAGTTATCAGGGACCAGACTTATACTGGAGGGCAATTGGGGTTGACCAGGCCTGCAAGGGAAGGCAATTCGGGGCAACTGGGCCTCCAGGGGAGCAGTTAGGTGTCTATCAGGCTGGCAGTGGAGTGGTTAGGCTGGCAGGCAGAAGCAGTTAGGGCAATCAGGCAGGCAGGCAGGCAGGCGAGCAGTTGGGAGCCAGCAGTCCAGATTGTGAGAGGGATGTCCAACTGCTGGTTTAGGCCTGATCCCACAGGGGTCACAGATTGGAGAGGGTGTAGGCTGGAATTAAGGACACTCCCCCTCAGTGCACTAACTTCGTGCACTGGGCCCCTAGTGGTGTTATAAAGGAACATGGAAGTGTAAACACATATTTTGTAATATATTTTCTGTTTTGTTTTTATGTTATAATTATGTAAAAAGATAAATGGAGGCAACTGAATGAAGACCTATCTCTTCAACTTCCTATGAGTTTAAACTTATTTTAATGAGAAAAAAAACACTTTAAATGGTTCTAAATCCAATAAAGTGAAAATTTAGAATACTTGAAATAACCAGGTAACATGGAGCCAAACAAAGTTAATATAAACCACATTTTCACCTATGAAGAGCAATATTCAAAATAGGAGATGAATTATAATTTCAGCTATATGCCTGGTCCCTTTAGAGAAGGAACCAATTAGTGTTCCCTTTGAAATACTTGGTGGATTATTTTCTACAGAAATAAATAAATAAATAAATAAATAAATAAATAAATAAATAAATATTTCTTGAAAGTCTGCATATTTAAATAAATATTTCTGCTAATAAGATAGTAAAAAATGAAAATAATTATTTTATTTTAACTTATTGAGCAATAATAAAATTTCATTATTCTAAGTAACTATTTCATCTTTTTAATCATGTTTTATACAGCATTCATTCATTATTTTAATGATCAGACTGCTAAGTTTCTATGTTTACAAAGCTTCCTCCTATATTTCTCTTATAAAGACTTGGATTGGGAATAGAAGAAGAAAATATCGTTTAATGGGGATTGAAGTTCCACCTCCAAGGGGAGGCCCTGCTGATTTTTCTGAGCATCCAGAGTCTGGTTCTTTGTCTGCACTCACAACAGGAGAGGAAGCTGGTCCTGAAGTAGAAGAAGATAATGATAGAAATGATGAAGCATCCATCTGTTTGTCTGAAGGAAGCTCTCAAGGTATTTTTTTTTATGTTGCACATCTTAATTATAGCTTTTGTAAATTTGATGCATTTTTAGTTTCTTTTCAGCATACTGGACTTCAAGTCTAAACTCATATTTGGTCAAAAATATTAAAATAAATGGATTTATTTTCTTCTATGTTTCAATGATACATATACACTGAGTGGCCAGATTATTATGATCGCTGAATACACAATAATCTGGCCACTTAGATTATTAGAGATCCAGAGCATGAATTAATTCATGGGTGGGGTCCAGCCTTCCTGCCCATAGGGAGAGGACTTGGCTGGTTGGCTGGCCTGCCTGCTGGTCGAACTCCTAGTTGAAGGGACAATTTGCATATTAGCCTTTTATTATATAGGATATACATTGAGTGGCCAGATTATTATGTGTTCAGAGATCATAATAATTTGGCCACAGAGTTTATATTTAAAGTATATGTTTTGATATACATATACATAGTAAAATTATTACTAAAATCAAGCTAATTCACATATCCTCAAATAGTGACATTTTTGTTGTGTATGATAAGAACACTGCAATTTAATATTTTAGCAAATTTCTAGTAAGCAGTATAATATTACTAGTTATAATTGTGTTGTACTTTAAATCTCTAAACTTATTCATCCTATGTAATTGCAACTTTATACCCTTTAATAACTATCTCCCCATTTTCCCCACCTCCCCACCCTGGTAACTATCATCCTACTCTTTGCTTCTATGTACTTGACTTTTTAAAATTCCACATATAAGTGAGATCATGCAGTACTTTTTTTGTGCGTCTTATTTCAATTAGCATAAGGTACCCCATTTTCATCCATGTTTTTGCAAATGGCAAGATCTCTTTTTTATAGCTAATAATAATCCTTTATCAATAACTAGAGGCCTGGTGCACTAAATTTGTGCAGGAGAGAAAGGGGGGGGCCTCAGCTCAGCCTGGATCCTCTGCAATCCAGGACCTCTTGGGGCATGTCTGACTGTCAGACATCCCTCACAATCCAGGACCACTGGCTCCTAACTGATCACCTGCCTGCCAGCCTGATCACCCCTAACCTCCTCTGTCTCCCAGCCTGATAACCGCTAACTGGCTCCCCTGCCAGCCTGGTTACCCTTAAGTGGCCCCCCACTGGCCTAGTAGCCCCTCACAGCCGCCCTTTTGCTGGCCTGGTTGCCCCTTGCTAATCCCCCTGGTGTCCTGGTAGCCCCATACAGCCTGCTTGTCAGTTGTCTGCTGTTTGGTTGTTACTGTGAGGGTGTCATGACCAATTTACATATTATCCTTTTATTAGTATAGATAATAAAAGCATAATATGCTAATTAGACTGGACATCCTTCTGGATGTCCTTCTAGATGACCTTCTGGATGAAGCCAGGGCTGTAAGGGAAGCCCGGGTCCCAGGTGCCAGAGGGAAGCTAGTGCTGACAGCTGGGGGAAGGAAAGCCTACTCTTGCACAAAATTCATGCAAGGGGTTCAGCCAATGCAGCTCCGGCTTCATCTGGAAAAATGTTTGGTCTAATTAGCATATTATGCTTTTATTATTATAGATAAGTATATATTAATTTCTGTATAAATGTATATAAAATGTGTATAAATTTATTTACCTATCCATCTGTTAACAGATACTTAGGTTATTTTTACATCTTAGTCAGTGTAAATATTGCTGCAATGAACATGGAAGTGAAAATACCTCTTTGAGGTACTGATTTAATATCATTTCATTATATAACCAGAAGAGAGACTGCTAATGTTTTGAGGAATCTCCATACTATTTTTCATAATGGATGCACAAATTTACATTTTCACCAACAGTGTATAAGGATTCCTTTTTTTCCATACCAGCACCAACACTAGTTGTCTTTTTTAAATATATTTTTTATTGATTTTTTTATAGAGAGGAGGAGAGAGGGATAGAGAGCTAGAAACATCGATGAGAGGGAAACATCGACCAGCTGCCTCTTGCACACCCCCTACCAGGGATGTGCCCGCAACCAATGTACATGCCCTTGACCGGAATCGAACCTGGGACCTTTCAGTCCACAGACCGATGCTCTACCACTGAGCCAAACTGGTTTCGGCTAGTTGTCTTTTTTTAAATTTCAATTCTTTATTATTTAAAGTATTACATGTTTCCTTTTTTCCCCATTGACCTCTCCTTGACTGCCCACACCCCAAGCATATGCCCTCACCCCCTAATCTGTGTCCTTTGGTTATGCTTATATGTATGCATAATGGTGTTTTGGTTGACCTCTTTCCCTCTCATCCCACCCTTCCCTCATAAGTTGGATAGTCAGTGCAATGCTTCTATGACTCTGGTTCTATTTTTGTTCATCAGTTTATGTTGTTCATTAGACTCTACAAATAAGTGAGATCATGTGATATTTATTTTCTCTGACTGGCTTATTTTGCATAATGCTCTCCAGTTGCATCCATGCTGTTGCAAATGGTAAGAACTCCTTTTTACCGCACTATAGTATTCCATTGTGTAGATGTACCACGGTTTTTTAATCCACTCATCTGCTGATGGGCACTTAAGCTTTTCCAAATCTTAGGTATGGTAAATTGTGCCACAGTGAACATAGGGGTGCACATATCCTTTCTGATTGGTGCTTCTGGTTTCTTGGGATGTATTCCTAGAAGTGGCATTATTGGGTCAAATGAAAATTCCATTTTTAATTTTTTGACTATACGCCATACTATTTTCTACAGTGGCTACATGAGTCTGCATACCCACCAGCAATGCAGAGAGTTTCTTTTTCTCCACATCCTCTCCAGAACTTGTAGTTTGTTAATTTGTTGATGATAGCCATTCTGAGAGTATGAGATGGTACCTCATTGTTGTGATTTTCATCTCTTCGATGATTAGTGTCTTTGAGCATGTTTTCATATGCCTTTGGCCTTCTTTATGTCCTCTTTTGAAAAGTGTCTCTTTAGGTCCTTTGACCATTTTTTTTTCCTTTACTTTTTTTTTGGGAGGGGGGGGCACTTAGCCTTTACCCATTTTTTTTTATTGGATTGCGTTCCTTTTGTTAAGTTGTATGAGTTCCCTATAAATTTTAAATATTAAACCCTTATGGGAGACAACATTGGCAAATATGTTCTCCCATAGAGTGGGCTTTCTTATTTTGTTGATGATTTCTTTTGCTGTGCAGAAGCTTTTTATTTTGATGTATTCCCATTTGTTTATTTTCTCCTTAGTTTCCATTGGCCTAGCAGTTGTGTCAGTAAATATATTGCTATGTCAAATTTCTGCTATTTTCTTGCCTATGGCTTCTTCTAAGATTTTTATGGTTTCCCATCTTATGTTTAAGTTCTTTATCCATTTTGAGTTTATTTTTGTGTATAGTGTAATTTGGTGGTCTAGTTTCATTTTTTGCATGGACTTGTCCAGTTTTCCCAATACATTTATTGAAGAGACTGTCATGATTCCACTGTATGCTCTTGCTTCCTTAGTCAAATATGAACTGATCATAATGACTTGGGTCAAATTTTGGATTCTCTGTTCTGTTCTATTTGTCCCTATGTCTGTGCTAGTATCAAGCAGTTTTGAGGACAGTGGCTTTGTAGTCTAACTTGATATCTGGCATTGTGATCCCTCAAACTTTGTTCATCTTTGTCAAGATTTCTCGTGTTCTTCAGGGTCTTTTTTTATTCCAGATGAATTTTTGGAGCGTATGTTCTAGCTCTTTGAAGTATACCCTTGGTATTTTAATGGGGATTACATTTAATATATTGATTGCTTTGGGTAGTACAGACATTTTAATAATGTTTATTCTACCAATCCATGAACAGGTATATTCCTCTGTCTCTTTTTTTAGCACCTGTAATTTTCTTAGTTCAGGTCCTCTACCTCCTTGGTTAAATTTATTCCGAGGTCTTTTAAATTTTTTGGTGCAATGGTAAATAGGATTTTTTTTTTTTAGTTTCTTTTTCTGTGAGTTCATTATTAGTGTATAAAAAAGCCATATATTTCTGATTGTTAATTTTATATCCTGTTACATTGCCAAATTCATTTATTAAGACTAGTAATTTTTTATGGAGTCTTTGGGGTTTTCTATGTACAGTATCATGTCATCTGCAAACAATGACAATTTTACTTATTTTCCTTTTTGGATGCCTTTTATTTCTTCTTCTTGTCTAACTGCCATGGCTAGCACTTCCAGTACTATGTTGAACAGGAATGGTGAAAGTGGGCATCCCTGTCTTGTTCCTGTTCCTAGGGGAAATGGTTTTAGGTTTTGCCCATTGAGTCTGATTTTTCCTGTAAGTTCGTCATATAAGGCTTTTATTATGTTGAGGTATGATCCTTCTATTCCCACCTTGATGAGAGTTTTTTATCAGGAAAAGGTATTGGGTTTTGTCAAATGTCTTTTCTGCATTGATTGATACGATTATGTGATTTTTTACCTCAAATTTTCATGTGATCTATCACATTTATTGATTTGCAGATATTGTACCAGCCTTACATCCCTAGAATAATTCCTACTTGGTCATGGTGTATGATCTTTCTAATGTAATGCTGAATCCAATTTGCTAGCATTTTGGTGAAGATTTTAGCATGTATGTACATCAGGAATATTAGCTTGTATTTATCTTTCTTTGTGTTGTCTTTATCTGGTTTTGGGATTAGGGTAATGCTAGCATCGTGGAAAGAGTTTGGAAATGTGCCTTCCTCTTGAGTTTCTTAAAATAGTCTGAGAAGGATAAGTTGTAGTTGTTTTTTTTGAATGTTTGGTAAAATTCCTTTGTGAAGCTGTCTGGCCTGGGGCTTTTACTTCCTGGAAGTTTTTTGATGACTGCTTCAATTTCCTCCATAGTTATCGGCCTATTTAGATTTTTAGAATTTTCTTGATTGAGTTTTGGAAAGTTGTATTTTTCTAGGAATATGTGTATTTCCTCCAGGTTGTTTATTTTGTTATAATAGAGTTGTTCATAGTATTTTTTTTTACAGTCCTTTGTATTTCCGTGGAGGTCTGTTTGTTATTTTGCCTCTTTCATT